CAAAACTCCACTGCCACCCAAAAGACATCTGTGCTTATTCCGAAATGCCCTCAAATGCAGCTGTCGTGTGGCTACACACCCGTTGTCCAGAGTTTCTGTACTTCCGTGCCAAGCCTTTAGCTGTGGAACCAACCTAACTGGCCAAACAGGAATGTAACAAATGATCCCCGTGATCTGAGTCATATTAACTATTTATATGGATGAGGTTCATAAGACATTATTACAGGGAGCTCATGCACGAGGTACCCTGCCAGGACATGTCTTCCTGAAGTAAGTGGACATATGTAATTTGTAATCCACAACCCGATCTCAGATATGCATTCTAAGCTTTGGATTATAATCAAATCAAACTTGAAAAATGGTCCTGGTCAGTGTTGTTAGAGTTAAAAAAAAACAACAACAACAACAAAAACCAGCAGATAAAAACCTGACCAGTTAGAGAAGATCCATTTTCCTCCTTGAGGAATTATTATTAACTTTGTTCTCTCTTGTGGAAAAAAAAAGAGTTTTACTTTTCAGTTTAACACTTCAGGGAACATTCATCTTATCTTTAGCCAGAATCAACTCTTACCATAAACAAAACAGATCAGCGAGATCCATCTTTGTTGTTTTAACAACTTTACCGTATTAGAAGATATGAGACCTGGAAAGGACAAGACCAGGCTTTCTAAGTATAACTGAGCTGAGTGAATCCTGACACTATGTACAAATTGAGTTGTCTTTTAGGGATTGGCATGACCTACTAATGTCATTGAATCAATATAGCACCTGAAGACGAGCTTGTGCAAAATTATTCTTTCTGCTAGATGTCAAATAACAATGTAAATTATGTTGATTAGAGAGCATCAGAGAGCTCCACTCATGGATTCAACAACAGATATTGAGCCCCTATGATGTATCAGGCTAAAGTACTTGAGATACAGTGGGGCCTGGGTGGCTCAGTCGGTTAAGCTTCTGCCTTCAGCTCAGGTCATGATCCCAGGGTACTGGGATGGAGCCCCACATCGGGCTCCCTGCTCAGCGGGGAGCCTGCCTCTGCCTCTCCCCCTGCCACTCCCCCTGCTAGTGCTCTCTCCCTCTGTCTTTCTCTCTGTCAAATAAATAAATAAAATCTTAAAAAAAATAAAGTACTTGGGATACAGAAATGAGAAAGACACAGTCCCTGCCCTCAGTATGGTTACAGCCTAGATGTGCCAATAGGGGAGGCAGAAGCCTAAACAGATTATCATAACACACTCTGATAAGTGCAGTATTATGAAAACACTGAGAATTGAAGCTCAAAGACAACCTGCTATTTCTAACTGAATGCCACAGTTTCATTTTAAGCAGCTAAAAACCTGTTTACTTATACCAGTTGTCTCTTTGTAGGAAAACTGACTCATAAAACTGGCTCATGTTGGGGCGCCTGGGTGGCCCAGTCATTGAGCGTCTGCCTTCGGCTCAGGTCATGATCCCAGAGTCCTGGGATCAAGCCCTGCGTTGGGCTCCATGCTCTGTGGGAAGCCTTCTTCTCCCTCTCCCACTCCCCCTGCTTGTGTTCCCTCTCTCGCTGTGTCTCTCTCTGTCAAATAAATAAATAAAATCTTAAAAAAAAAAAAAAACAGCTCATGTTTCAGCTGTGACCCTTATCAGTCGTGTGCCTTGATTGTGTCTGAAAGCCCCTGCAGGCCAGGGACCACTGCAGACCAGAGCTCACTCACAGTCTCCCACTTAGTAGTTGTGACCATTCTCAAGGTTGCATACACCCTACGATATCGTAGTAATTGTATTGCCTTGAAAGGATCTTCACTAAAGAGGAGGATTTATAGTAAGCCAGGTATTTTAATAAAATAGCATTTTCCTCCTACTTTCTTCTATCCTACTTTGGCAAACTTTTTCTGTGAAGGGCCAGATAGGAAATATTTTAGGCTTTTCAGGCCATACATTTCCTGTTGTACTTCCTCAGTTCTACCACTGGAGCAGGGAAGTAGCCACAGACAACATGTCAACAAATGGGCATGGTTGCGTTTCAATAAAACTTTATTTACAAAGCCAGGGGATGGGCCACGTTTGGCCCACAGGCCATAGTTTGCTGACCCCTGCTATATAAGCAACATTTTTATCAGTCTTGATAACATTTAAAATGTACTGACCAGTAGGCCATAAGGAATAATGGGCATTAAACATAGGGTCAGGAAACCTGTGTCAAGGCCTAGAGTCTCCCTGCAGCTTTCTTTTGATCCAAGTCCATGCTTTCCTTCAGCCTCAGTCTTCTCTTCAATAAAATGAGTGGATGGACAAAATGACTTCTAAGATGCCTTTAACTGGCATTCTCTATTTCTGGAAAGACACAGGAGTCTGCTGATGAAATTCACCATCAGTAGTAAATTTAGAGGGATGTTTTGCATCCACAGGGATCTGGGTAGACTGGAACGTGGACAACATTTCACAAAGTGAAACTTAGTAGGAAGAATGATAAAGTCTAGTACACAGGTTGTAAAAAGATACAGACATGCAGACAGGATGCGAGAGTCTTGGGGACGGGGGTGAAGCAGCACAGTGAAAGGTTTGAGCTGATGACTAGCTCACTGTGAGTCAACAAAGTGGCCGCCCCACAAGGCAAGGTGGCTTTAAGCTGCATCAGTAGGAAGAGTGCCCAGCAAGAGAAGACAAGGGCTCTTTCTAAGCTCTGTGCTGGCAAGACCGCACCTGAAGTGTTGTGATCAGTATTAGACACCACCCTCTAGATCAGACTTTGACACCCTGGGGAGTGTCCAGAGCAGAGGGCCAAGGCGGCAAGGGAGTTCTCAGCCCTTCCTTGAGAGGAGATTGAAAGACGTGGCAGTGTTCAGGAGTGCAGGAGGGTGCAGAGACCAGGGACACTGAAACCGCTTAACTTTGAGTTGATATAGAAATTTACTATTCAAAAAATTTTGTATCTTTACGTCTAGATCAGTACTCAAAATATAACAGGCACTCCAATATTTGTGGAAAGAACACCTCTAAGGATGTGAAGAATGTTCAAGTGGAAGAAATATTCTACTTGTTCTTGGTGGCGTCAGTGGCCAGAAGTAGGGCTCTGGGAGGAAGCCCCAGGCAACTGCCCTGGTCTCGGCATGCAGAGGGGGCAGCCTGCATCCTTGTGCCTGGGAAGCAGCCCCTGTGCTCCTTCGGGAGTCCCCAGGGTAATCTTAGCATTGTCTCAAAGGCCAGTGGTCACCAGGTAGCCACAGCTATATTCAGCTGCCCAAAGACAGCACTTCCGTCATGTCACCTTGAGGCCTCGTTGGTCCTGAGAGTGTGCTGTGTTTGCATTTTTCTGCACACACAGGTTTCCAGTCTACACTCATATTTCCCACAGTGCAGTAAGGACTGGAGATGTGTGAGATGATTTTAGCTATTACGCAAACTGACATTTTAAAATATTTACATGTTTCTTTCAATGTGTATTAGAAAAAAAGTAAAGCTAGCACATCCTAGTTTCATAAATAGTATGTAAGAACAGGCTACATTGGAAAAGCAAGTAAATTTAAAGTTGATTTAATGAAAAGTATTAAGTAAATAACAGTACCTCTATATTCAGATATGGCAAAAGTTTACAAAGTAGAATGTGAACAGCGGAAGTATGCTCCAAGTAAATTCTATTAAACTCTCAACTAAGACCTATACAAGCCATTTTATCTTTCTTACTAATATCCCATCCCTTTCTTCCACTTCTAATAAGGTAATTTTTCTCTATCACACAGTCCCATCACTGGACAAGGCTCAGATGATTTTCTTTTTCATTAAAAAAAATATGCAGTAATGCCCATGGAGAAAATCCATAAGAGAAAAAAACAATACAGTGAACAAAAGAAGTCTAATAAAATCCCACCACCCAGCTTCCCATTGCTTTTGCTCCCCTCCAGCATTCCCTCCTGTCTTGGAACACATGTGTCAACTTGTCATCATGAGATAGATGGACTTTATAGTTTTCATTTTAAATTTAGCGTATCAGATTGCTTTATTGCAGACTCCTCTTTGCTGCGTTTTTCCTCTCAGCATTGTTGGCCACTTGTCATTCCTCAAAGCTAACACCATCATTTCTCACACTTCACTTTGACCCTGATGTCTTTGTGAGTTAAATGGAATTTACACTGTAGTTCAGGTGCTAGAGTTTCATCCTCTTCTCCAAATACCTTTAGGAAGATTTAGACGCCCTCATTTTACTGTGTATAATTTTCCTTGGTGTTTTATAATTTAAAGTTTTCCTTGAACCCTATCATTCTACCTTTTTTTTTTTTTTTTGCCTCTGATCTCCCTAGGGAGTCTTGTATCTGTCCTGTCCTCTCACCAATTCACGAATGTCTCTTTCTTCCCCCACTTCAGAATGTTTCAGAAACCCATAAGGACTCCATGTCCCATGGATGTAGGTAGCTGGTACTCTCTGGTTTTACCCTGTTTAAATAAAGTATTCCCAATATACTCCTTTCTCCATTACCTCATTCCAGACATTGAAAATATTTACCTTTTTATATGTACATTCATACAAGCAAATTATTGACATATTGCCTTTTTTATCCATTATCTGATGTGTAGCTTAGTTTTGGGTAAGCTTCATGTAAATGTCCATTTCGCTATTCTGGGTCAAAACATGGATGAGATCAGGACTCATGATCATTTGATTTATTCCGGATAGTCCAGATATGTGGGCAATTAGACTTGTAATGAGTGTTCTATAGAAAGTTGAGCTCTGGGGGCTGCTGGGTGGCTCAGCTGGCTAAGTGTCGACTCTTTGATTTCAGCTCAGGTCATGATCTCAGGGTTGTGGGATCAAGCCCTACTGTGGGCTCTGTCTTAATGGGAAGTCAGCTTGAGATTCTCTCTCTTCCCCTCCTTCTGCCCCTCCTCTTGCTCACGCTCTCTCTCTCTCTCAAATAAAGAAATCTTAAAAAAAAAAAGTTGAACTCTGTAGAAAATGTGCCCAATATATAGAAAAAAATAATAACTGTTTATTCTTTTTGTGATTTTTTTTTTTAAAGGCTGGATTACAGTGGACCTTCCAGAGAGTTTTTCTTCCTCGTATCCAGAGAACTCTTTAACCCGTACTATGGCTTATTTGAATATTCGGCCAATGATACATACACAGTACAAATAAGTCCCATGTCTGCTTTCGTAGACAATCACCATGAATGGTAAGTATTTTTTCCCCAAAACTTTTCTTCAGTTGACTTTCAGTGATATTAGTTTTTATAGGAACCCAGATTTCTTTTAACACTTTTTTCCTTGGAGAAAATCATATTTTCAGTTTCATTTGACTCTTACTTTTGTTGTCAAATTTAAATATATGGACATTCTCCAAGCTAGGAATAGATTATATTCCAAAAGACCAATTTCAAGCGAACTGGGCAGAATTCAAAACATTTTCCCCATTGAAAGAAAGTTCCAGATGATGTTAGGTTCCTGGCAAAATCCCTAGATCTGTCTTTACACTTTGGGCATCTCTGAACTCTGAGGTGGGGTGGGAGAAGGTCCTGTCCTAGCTTCTAGAGCAGCCCTTGGGGAAGTGGCCAACACTGGGGGGTGGGGCAGAGCAGCTGTGACACTGGCTGAGGGTGATGATGGTATTCTAGTAGGAGGGAGTGGAGAGTGGTGTGCCCTGGAGGAATTGATGGTAGAAGAGAACCCTGGCAGAAGGACATGGGTGTGGAGTCCCAGCAGTGGTGCTTACCCTATTAGCCATTGAAGTTTGTAGCCAGGCATTGCCCCTTTCCTAATTTTTCACACAAAATTATCAAGGAAAGCTGGTATAGGATTCCCTTCTGGGAATTATTTATTTTGAAAATCCAAAATTGCACTCTTTCCAAACATCCTTACATTCTTTTTTAATCCCTGCACTTATACATGTTAAATATCTTTATAACCCCTGTTTGCTTTTTTCCTGCTTATTTTCACTAATAGTAACAACAAAAAAAGAACATAAGCAGGACTCATGGAAAAAGTTTCTTTGGGTCATGAAGGTTAATATTGGTGGGTGGAAGGCATTAACTTTTAGGACTTATTCTTCAAATTAACTCCATGTAGCTACAATTTGGAGTCCTCTTAACTGTATCTATTGCAGTTATGCTAAGTTAGGTAGAAAAAAAGAAAAACAAAGCTGCCGGACATTAATCTTGAAATGGCTGCCTAATACTAAAATTACAAATGGAGTGTATGAATCCCAGCATGGATTTACACTTTTGGAAGGCATCAGACTTTCACAGAGGTAGAAACTGCAGTATTTTTGAAAGGGAAAATAAGCGTACCTCTCAGCAAATCCAGTCATGACTGATATATTTAGTAAAGTTTCCAAAATGATTCAGAATAGAATTGAGCCTTCAAATTTTAGAGAACCAAATGTCCCATGAGGAAACTCCCCCATGTTCACAATGCATAATTCTTGGATAGTGACTATCATCAGTGGTGGGGTTTGAGAGAGAATAGAGATAGGAACTGTCTCACTCTGAGATTGGGCTTTTCCTCAAAAGGGGAATTGCTACTGTGTTTGTATTAGAGAAATCCTGCTAATATTCATGCAAACAAACTAGAAGGGGACAACATTTTCCCTACCACCACCGGTTTCATTCTGTCATCTTTTAAAAGTGGCTTGGGGAAATTTTACAGGCATGCTCACGGGGAATTCATGTTGTCCATGTGGGGTGCTCTATGGTGGATATTATTAACATGAGGTGAAGGTGGAGCAGTATCTCTCTAAATATCAGAGTGAAACAGATTTTTTCAAGTAGATGTGAATATTGGCCTAATGAAGACACAGGTTACAACGCACTCAAACTCTCATGGACCTAATAAGCAATTAGTCTTGGACAAACTTAGATGATTAGAGGTAGACTGCATTCTAGAAAGCAAATAGAACCATTTAGAACTGCTCCCTGACGTGTAAGCTGTCTTGTGCTTTTCCTTCACAGGTTCCGGTTCAGTGGTAGGATTCTTGGTCTTGCACTCATACACCAGTATTTGTTGGATGCCTTCTTCACACGGCCCTTTTATAAAGCTCTTCTCAGAATGTAAGAGTATTTTTATTGCTTGTGTAATTAGCATGTAAGAATGTAATATTTCTTTTATCAAAAAGAACCTTTTATCAATGTCATTTATCTACTTAGGTTTCTGAAACTAATACAATTTCAAATATGGTTACTGTGTTTTTCCTGATCCTTTACTTCTGTCTTGCCCCTAAAGTCTTAGTTTTGCTTTATTCCGGAAAATTTATTCTCATTTGTTGCAACACATGTTTCTTCAAAACAATTGTACTTCAAATACGGTACTGGAATTCCTGTGGTATTAATGCTGATTATTAATAGAATAGTTGTGGGTTAGTCTTGGTGACTCACAGCCCCCTATCCTTTATGGGAAGCATTTTATATTTTGCTTTATGCAGACTTCAACTGCTTACCCTTGGTTCAAGTTTTCATTCTCCTTTGTTTTTTTTTGTCTTATTTTTTGTTTGTTTGTTAGAGGTGCGCTCTCCCATATTTTTCTTGAGACCTCCCTAAATGCAAGACAGTAATTTAATATGGCAGATAAAAATTTAGCATTCACAGACTTTTTCTTCATTGTTACTGCAGTGAAAGATTGCAATTATTGTAAAATGTAGAGCAAACAGTTTCTGTCCTATAATCAGTAGTCATTTACAAGGCTGAACAGGAGAAGGCAACTGTCTGATAGGGGAGTAGTAGCTCAAACTTGCAGTGAGGAAGCGCAGAATGATTGCTGATTTCAGTCCAGCTTATTCCCTGACCAAGGCCAGGTACCTGCTTTCTGTAAAATGGAAGCCTAGACTTCAAATGAAAACAAAGTATTTCTAATGGGTTCTTAAGAGGTTCAGTAAGAAGACTTTTTGCTTTCCTCCCTTTTGGTGTCTGGGCAGATGAAACCTTGGGCATCTGGGCACTATCCATCTGCCTCTCTGGTTCTGCTGGTCCCATTTTGCATCTTCCCATTTCACTGCCTTCTCTCATCTTCTCATATAAGCTTCCTGAAAGAGTAGTCTGTGCCGACGTGCCCTCAACACACTTTAGCCTGGCTTCCTTCCCACCAGTAACCTATAGAAGCTTTTAAAGAATATCTTTTAGTCCTTATCTTACTGGACCATTCTGCTGCTTCTGATACTGTTGACTGCCCCAAACCCCAGCCCCATGCATTTACTTTGAGTCTTTCCTCCACTGGTGTCCCTGGAAATGCAACTTCTCCCGTGTACCTAGTCATGGGAGATACTGGCACAGTTCATGGCGCTGGTATATCAGGTCACTGGTCAGAAATCAGGAGTCACCCTCAAACAGAGATGGCAAATACACAGCACCTAGTCTACTCTTCCTTACCTCCCACTCCATTGCCATAGTGTAGTTCACAGATCGTTTATGGTCCTTTTTCCCACTGAACTTGTTGTGGCCTCAGGGAGTTTTTCAACTTACAGCCCTCGAGACTGGCAATTAATCAGAGTTGGCTTGCAACATGAGTTCATTTGCCACCCCATTTTGATATCCTTCTTTATGCCCCCCAATAAAACCATTTACTAATGCCCACGTTTACCTCCTAAATAAGTCTTAAGTGCATCTTCTCCTGTCCACCCTTAATAGCTGTGCCCTAAATATGAAACTCTTATTTTATTTTGGCCAGATTACTATGGTGGTCTACCTAATTGTCTCCACCATCTAATGATAACCACCCCTCCCCCCCCATTTTAAGTAATCCTCTATACTCTGACTTCCAGAAAAAACAATTCAAAATCACATCTCACATCTGATCATGTCATTTCCTGTCCTAAAATCTTTCGGTAGTTTCATGTCATTTCCTGTCCTAAAATCTTTCGGTAGTTCTGAAGCACCAAGATCCTTAAAATGATATTCAAAGGCTGGTCCCAGCGACCTTCCTCAGCCTTCTCTGGAAATTCTGCCTTGCAGTTAACTCTTGGATCCTGCCAGTGTGCTTGAGTATTCTCATACTCCATGCTCTTGTGCTTTGCTCGTGTTTGTCTCTCCTTCTCCCTTCTTTCTGTTTCCCCTTCTCCTCCTCTTCATTCATTTCCCTTTATCTCTCTAGATTTTAAAAGAGCCTACAAATTTTGATGTAGGTATTATCTACTCCAGAAAGGTTTCCCTGAATCGCCAAGTTGAAGTTAACATCCTGCATTCTTGCTGTGAGAGCTTCCTGTATCTACCTTATATGTTTTTTTTTAATTGGAGTGTAACATACATATAAAAAATACACAAATTATAAGTGTTACCCACCCTAGGCTATCACCATCACCTTGAATTAGTTTACCCATTTTTGTACCTGTCTCCCCAACTAGACCACTAGCTCCTTGAGGGCAGTAACTGTTTATCAAGTAGCTGTTAAGATGTCTGGCACATACTAATAAATGTTTAGAAAGAACCAAACAAAATGACCTTTGAAATTGGGCTGATGGGAGCAAATCAATTGTTACCACCTTAAAATAGGGCCATACAATAGTAACTCCACCTTATGTAGACCTCTCTCCATGATAAAAAAAAAAAAAATAGAAGTATTGAAAACCATTATAATTGTAGAGAGATTCTGTGGCTTTCTGTTTTTAGAAACATGGAAAGAATAAGGACCATAAAGAAAAAAGAAGATACATGTGAATGTGGATCACAGAACCTAGTCTTTGAGAAAAAATAACCAAGTTAAAATACAGTATAGAAACATAAAAAAATTTCAGATTAGGAGAATGATGTTTTAAGGTAGTATAACATAGCCAAAATAATATGGGACTCAAGTTGTCAACCTGAGTTCCAGTTCCTGCTCTGGCATTAATTGTGGATGACTGGGTAAGTGGCAGCCACTCTTTGCACCCCAGTTCTGTGTCTGTAAAAGAAAGTATAGGCTGGTTGATTTAAGGCATTTTATGTATCCAGATTTTTAAATCTTATACCAGATTTCTGAATTATTTCGCTAGTTTGGTTACTGAATTTGACTAAGAACATTCCAGGAATCACTGTCTATTTAGATGATCTTGTACTTGTATTTAATTTTTAGTATCTTTCCTTGTGTCTTTGGAGTTTTGCTAAGAGTCATACCTACACATTTGTTTCTATCTGTTTGTCATCTTAGTCTGTGTGACCTGAGTGATCTAGAATACCTTGATGAAGAGTTCCACCAGAGCCTGCAGTGGATGAAAGACAATGACATCCATGACATCTTGGATCTTACATTCACTGTGAATGAAGAAGTTTTTGGGCAGGTCTGTGTATGTGACTCACTGGTGACTAAGTGTGGTAATTAAAGACTATTGGTTGGTGAAGAATTAATACTCCATGTGACTTCCTCTGGAGCAGCACTAGATCTTTTTAAGAGGAGAAAAACAAACTGGATTAATCAGTGGTCAGTTTTAAAATGAAGGCTAACATCATACACTTACTTACTGGTGGCTTGTTGGGTGGTTTCAACCCAGGTTTACGTACAGTTACAATAATTTTGGTTACAAAGATTATTTTTTATTATTATTATTTATTTATTTATTTGAGAGAGAGAGAATGAGAGAGAGCACATGAAGGGGGGAGGGTCAGAGGGAGAAGCAGACTCCCTGCCGAGCAGGGAGCCCGATGCGGGACTCGATCCAGGGACTCCAGGATCATGACCTGAGCCGAAGGCAGTCGCTTAACCAACTGAGCCACCCAGGCGCCCTACAAAGATTATTTTAATGCCAACTGCAGACCAAGGTGTTCTAATTTACAGATTGTGGTAACTGTGTGTTACAAGCTATATAACTATTTCTGTGTCATAAGCAATCTTCTTTTTATTTCCAACTAAATTATCCACATAAGATATTAGAATCGCCTTGTATAAAATATAACTTTTAAAAGTCCATGTTACGCCAGAGTTGAATATTAAATTATTTAATTGACATTTGTACTTAACTGTCATTCATATTTAAAAATGGAAATTGATTATTTTGAAGCTGAGGGAAGGTAAATAATGTTTTGGTGAAGGTTTGAAATCGTATTGGCTTTTTCCAAAGTTGGTGGAAGAGTTGGTTAAAAGATTTCTTTCAGAAATTGTATACTGGTTCATAAGTAATATTCTTATTTAGACATTAGTATTTGGCCGGTCTTCTAAATTTTGTGTTTTGGAAAAGAAGTTCTCAATTTAACGTTCACTTGAATGTAATTCTGCTTCATTAAAGTAAATCTTTACTTAAATACTGGCTTTCTATATGTCGTTGATTCTGAACCCTAACAGAATTTGTGAAAATATGTTTTTGCCAAACATTCAAATAGCAGTGGGCCAGAATCTGGAGCCAGTTTATTTTCATTTAGAAGATTTTTAGTCAGGATTTAAAAGTTAACCTTCAGCACTTGCGATATATAGATTTTTAACCACTGAGGATTTCAGACATCAGCTCATGCCTAGTTTTTCCAGAGCATCGGCGTGTGCCTGGGCTCCCTGTGGCTCCATGGGGTGCCTTCCCCTGCTGCTTGTGGGATGTGCCCCCGGGCCAAGGCAGCAACAAGTACCTAGATGGCCGATTTCGGCTCACTGGGAGCAGTGTTCTTATCTCATCAAGAATGTTGCTTTATGTTCAGTCCTTTTTTTTTTTTTTTTAATCTCAGATTACCGAACGAGAATTAAAACCAGGGGGTGCCAATATCCCGGTCACAGAGAAGAACAAGAAGGAGTACATCGAGAGGATGGTGAAATGGAGGATTGAGAGGGGCGTCGTACAGCAAACAGAGAGCTTAGTGCGCGGCTTCTATGAGGTAAAGACAGTGGGAATAGGGTTTTGCAGACTGATCTCGGTGATACCACAGTCCATCTGACTGTACTCTGTATGCAATATTTCCCTCTTTCTTTTGTTGGATTTACTATTGCTCTTTCAATTTAAAAACTCCAATATATTTTTTATATGTTTCAAGAACACAAAAAAGGCTTAATGCTCTGTTACAAGAGATCACTGAAATAAAATGATCTGAATTCAAGTAGCATTTCATGACTTAAGGACCACTAATAACATTTAAGTCATACATCTTACTCATGCTTAGATACGGGTAATCACACCTCATGCTTGATATGTGAAATGATTGTATCTGAGGGTTCAAATGAGTTCTTACAAATACTCCATGTGACTTCCTCTGGAGGAGCACTAGATCTTTTTTCAAGGAGAAAAACGAACTGGATTAATCAGTAGTCAGTTTTAAAATGAAAATTCTGTTGAGGAACAGATATTAATCTTGTACTAAAAATACCTTATATTTGTTGAGAGCTTTACAGTTTTCAAGTGCCTACACAGAGTGCTTCCAGAATGTTCCTAAACCTCCTTGTGTCCTCCTTTTCTGATGAGGCTTAATTATAGCTGAGATTTCTCCTGATTCAAAAGCCGTGCCCTGCATTCTTTTTATTTCACAGGTGGTGGATGCCAGGCTGGTGTCTGTTTTTGATGCAAGAGAACTGGAACTGGTCATCGCAGGCACAGCTGAAATCGACCTGAGTGACTGGAGAAACAACACGGAATATAGAGGAGGTGAGATGTGATTTAGAGATGGCTGGATTTTTAAGTTTCGTATTAAGGGAAGCCAGTGGTTAGCATTGCCAGTCTCTGAATCCAGGACAGGCAAAAAGCACTTTGGATTCTAATCATAGGTCTGCTGCAGTCTCCTCTGAGACCTTGGGCAACATACATTCTCTTCTGTTCCTAGTTACCTCATCTATCAAGTGGAGGAAGGACTGTACACCTCATCTAAGAATGTCGTAATTCCTAATTGTTGGTGAAGAAATGTGACCATAAGAACACTAATTAATTGTTTTATGGTGTTGTGAGTGAAACCCTAAGGAGATCACATCCAGCTGGTCAAACTCCACCTCTCCTACCTTCATTCTAAACCTTGAAGTCACACATCCTCTGAGCCTCCTAATGAGCAAACACGGTTTTTCTACATTTCACTGAACTATTTCCAGCTATAATTCATATATGTGAGACACATAAATGGAATAAGACATGGTTCTCAAAATTCAAGATGTTTATTGAAAAGGCCCTTCTAAATTCAAGCATTAAGTTCAACTGAAAAGGAAACTACTGTAAGATTAGTTAAAAGCTGGATTATATGACAGTTCACCACATGGGAAGCTTTACAAGTGGCATTTCTGTAGATCACTCTAAATTTTCAATTAGTAATTGCGCTTGAAGCCATTGGCATTTGATTGCTGAGTCAATACACTTTGAAAGGGACCTGATGATGACCCAGAGTTAAAAGTTTTTATTCCATAATTTTAAGCAAAGAAAGAATACATTTTCTGAAACTTATTGCAGGGTGATAGTTTTCAGAAAGTCATGACAAAGAGCAGTTGTGTTTTGTTTTGATTTTGGTTTTTGGTTTTTAACTCAACTCAGAATGTAAAAGGTTAGCAGTAGTTCTGAACTTGGGAGTGAAAAATACAAACTTGAAGTCACTGAATTAATCACTCAGCAGAATAAACTGAAAGCTAAACATATCTCCAGTTATCTGTACATTGAAAGAGATTTTTTTATTTTAAAGATTTTATTTATTTCTTTGACAGAGAGAGACACAGCGAGAGAAGGAACACAGCAGGGGGAGGGGGAGAGGGAGAAGCAGGCTTCCCGCGGAGCAGGGAGCCCGATGCGGGACTCGATCCCAGCACCCTGGGATCATGACCTGAGCCGAAGGCAGATGCTTAATGACTGAGCCACCCAGGCGCCCCTGAAACAGATTTTAAAACACTTTTTAAAGTGTAGAGTAGAATAAAAATACCTTAACATTTGCTAAATTGCTTTTGTTCTTGCCTTGGCTCTTTCAACTCATCGCTTGCCGTGGGCTGGCCTTGCTCCCCCATTTTCTCTGAAAGGCAGTATTAAATTGCAGTCTCTCTTGCTGCTATTTCTGAAACCAATTGCTGCAATGTGTCTTTTCCAGCTGGCCCCATGTATAATCCATATACAACCTTGGTCATTATAACTTCATTAACCAAACTCTTTTTATGAACTAGAACACAGTTTCTCCAGCATGCTACAAAACTTGCATCTTACCATAAATGTCATTAGCTCTTCTGCGCCAGGAGATTCTAATAGCAATGCTGTTAATCAAATCAGCCATTTTTGTATTTATATACTGTAAGCTTTTATTCACTGTATATGTCTAATCAAGTCCCCATTTCCATGGTTATTGTAAATCTTGCCAAATGAAATACTTGGGAAGACAGTGCTCCAGTGGGGGGAGGGGGGGGAATGGGTGAGATACCCAGCTGTTTGCTAACCCAACTAGTTGGCACTGAATGAAGAGGCAGCTTTGCTGCCAATTGCCATATGTTCATAAAGCAGCTGTTTATAGAGAATATGAAGAGACATTTTCTGTCTTCCTCCTCCAGAAGGTTTGGCACAAACAGCAAAGGAGAAGCAGAAAGGGGCCAATTCATAAGGTCAGAAAAGCTATAAAGAGCCAATGTACTTATTTTATAGATGAGAAAACTATTTGCTCAGCACCAAATAGCTAGTCTCTGCCAGATGGACGTGGAGCCTATACATCACCGTGTCCAATAGAAGTATGTTCACCCTTCACTTGGATCCCTTTCTTGTCCAAAGGGCACTCAGCATCACTGATCCAATAAGGCAAAATTCCCCCCAAATTCTGCAACCACTGAAACATGTGAGCAAAAATTCAAATTAAAATCGTTTTTACCCACCTTTGCTTTGGACTTATTTCTGCTGACTTAGAATTAGAGTGGCTTTATCACATTGTGCATGTCAGTTAATTGGTTAGATCACTAATTGTATCTTAATCCTCATCAGCCCTCTCTCTGAACTTAAATTTTCTTCACTGAAAGATTTTGGAATCTACAATACTGCCTTAATCCACCCCGGGGATGATACTTTTGATATTTTATTAAATTCTACTAAAGTATGGAATAAAAATAACATTTAAATTAATGATTATTTGGGATTTATTAGTTGAAGAAATTAATAAAATTACTTTTTTATTAATAAAAGTGATTTGATTTAAAAATATGAACATTATATGTAATTTTAAAATAGTTTGCAATTATGTATTTATTTGCATAATTATTTGATTAGTGTGTCTCTCCTTTACCAGAAGCCCTGTAAGGGTCTGTTTTCTTTGCCTCTGTTACCTCCAAGCTTACTACAGTGTTTGGTATAGTGATACTGAAAATTATTTCTTAAATGAATGACCAAAAGAGTTAAGCATTTCCAGTAACAGCAGTTATCTTTTTCAGAAATGATATGGTTAAAATAACAACTTTGTTGGTCTTCTCCACTTGTTTTATTTACTGACGACTAAATGGAAATAGAGGCCCCCTCGCTTCATTTAGTGTTGTTTTTGACTTTTGACACTCATATGATTATATCTACAGTGTTATTTCTTAGTCTTAAATTCATAAACAACCTTTAAAGAATCCAAGATGATGATTTATGTCTGGAGGTCTTTTGTTGACTTGTCATGGTGTCATGTCATCCTAACACAGAAAAGTTAAAGTAATATGGGCTTTCCTGATTGGTTTGATAGGATATCATGACAATCATATTGTAATTCGGTGGTTCTGGGCTGCCGTGGAAAGATTCAACAATGAACAACGACTAAGGTTGTTACAGGTAAGATGCCACTAGTTAATCTTTTTAATGCATTAATATGATTATTGTTGGAATTGCATATTTTTTATAATTGCTAAGTACTCAATAATTATACTCCATGCTTATCTGCAAATGGCAGATACATTATTTCAGACTCTTCTGATTGTGTGGTTCTGTGGCTCCATCAGCATGCAGAACATCCCCAACCAAGTCCAAGTATTTCATTAGAATTTTGAGGACATACCAATTCCAGTCCGAGAATCCCAGGAAAAACACCTGGCTTCAGGGCAATTGGTCCCTTCAAGAAGAGATCCCAGGGCACTCTGCAGGGCAACATCCCTAGCAATAGAAAGAGGGCTTTCAATCCCTTAAGAAGTAACCAGGTCTTGGATAAAGAATCCTTTCTTTTCTTCCATCTAACTTTCCACAAACTTGAGATAACAATGAAGTTCAAGGACACTGGAAAAGCTAGCTCATTATTTTCTGGCAGTGTTTATAGTTACGTGGCAATTGCTGGTTTATTGCGGTCAAAGAAATATCAAACATGAGTAAGCCTTCTGTATACTTAGGCTCAGCCTTACAAGTAGCCTTTGGATCAAGGATCTGGTCCTCAGACTTACTCATCTCAAATTGATCGGGGACTGATGCTAAGGAGACTTAGGTTAATTGACACTTTATTAATCTATAATGGGAAATATACCCAGTTTAGTCTTCTGAGCTGGTTAGCTGTACAGGATGCTTTATCTGCTACAAACCCTCTGCATCCCCTTTCCCTTTTTAATGCACTGTCCTTCCTTAGTATTCCCCAGCTCTTCGTCCAAATCCCTGTGTTAGGTTATTCCGCGCCCATAGAGTTTAACCTTCAGGCTTTCCCACCAGTGAGCAACCTGTTGCTCTTCCCAAAGAGCCGTGCATGTGAATGATACCATGTGTTTCTTAGCAGCTAGTCTCTTGGTTTCACCATATCCTTCTGTTTTCTTGGGTTAATAGTTTGTCACAGGCACATCCAGCATTCCCTATGAAGGATTTGCTTCTCTCCGAGGGAGTAATGGCCCAAGAAGATTCTGTGTGGAGAAATGGGGGAAAATCACTGCTCTTCCCAGGTAAAATAAAAAACCACATTTCTTTACTGTCACTACAGTATTCTAGGGGAGACCTTTAACCTATGTATGTATTGATTAATTACTGTTTTCATGTTAAAAGTTTTGGAGAGTGGAAAAGCGCTTTTAGAATGAATTTATCTTTGATTACCTTTCTAATTGGAGGAGTAAAAAATCTTCGTGTCATACTTAAAATCCATACATTCATATCTTTTTCTTCTTTTTTATTGAAGTAAAATTGACACATGCTGTTACATTAGTTTCAGGTGTACAACATAATGATTTGACAAGTCTGTATGTTATGCTATGCTCCCAAGTGTAGCTCCCATCTGTCCCAATACATTGCAATTACAGTATCATTGACTATATTCTCTATGCTGTGCCTTCTATTCCCATAACTTATTCTTTCAATAACTAGAAGCCTGTGTCTCCCACTCCCCTTCACTCATTTTGACCATTCTCCATTCCCCCTCCCCTCTGGCAACCATAAGTTTGTTCTCTGTATTTATGAGTCTCTTTCGGCTTTTTGTTTGTTTATTCATTTTGTTTTTTAGATTCCACAGATAAGTGAAATCATAGGGTATTTGTCTTTCTCTGTCTGACTTATTTCACTTAACAGAATATACTCTAGGTTCATCCATGTTGGTTGCAAATGGTAAAATCTCATCCTTTTTATGGCTGTGTAGTAGTTGCGTGCACGTGTGTGTGTCCGCGTGCACGCGCATATATCCTTCTGAATTAGTGTTTTCATTTTCTTTGGGTAAATAAATACCCAGTAGTGGAATCACTGGATCATGTGGTATTTCTATTTTTAATTCTTTAAGGAACCTCCATACTGTTTTCCACAGTGGCTGTACCAGTTTCCATTCCCACCAACAGTGCACAAGGGTTCCTTTTTCTCCTCATCCTTGCCAACACTTATTATTTCTTGTCTTTTTTATTTTAGCCATCCTGACAGGTGTAATGTGATATCTCATTGTGGTTTTGATTTGCATTTCCTTGGTGATGGGTGATGTTGAGCATCTTTTCATGTGTCTGTTGGCCATCTGTATGTCTTCTTTGGAAAAATATCTATTCAGGTCCTCGACTCATTTTTAATCATGTTATTTTTGGGTTTTGGTGTTGAGTTGTATAAGTTCTCTCTATATTTTGGCTATTAAGCTCTTATAGGATATATCATTTACAAATATCTTCTTTTAAAATACAAAATGCGCCATAACCAAAGCATTTGTTAGCTTTAGTAAAACAATGTTGGTCATCACACAGTGGCTTCTTATGATTATGGCTCAAAGATTTAGATGTTCCCTGAAGCTCTCATTTTTAGTTTATATTAATAACTATTTAGAATCCCTTCACTAGAAACTGCCATTATGGTTTCTAAAGAATATTAAATCATGTTAATATACTCTATGCCTCCTTAGCTTAGATTGTATATGCCTTAATTCCATGTGAATGCTCTCTGCATTGCCTTCTCATTCATAATAAGATGATGCATTTCTCTGGAGTGACCAAAAATTGTTTTTCTATTACTGATAAATGTAAGAGCCTGTAAGGTAGTAGTTGTGAATGAAAGTGTTTGGGGATGAATGCAGATAACTAGAACTGAAACACAAAAAAAGGAGGGAGCAAATGAATAAAAGAGGAATGAAGAAGAGTTGGTTTTAGAGCTCCTTCATCTAATTAGCAGTAATAATACTGCATTTTTTAGGTAAAAAGAAGACTTCAGATTGCCTCTCATTTTACTAATAATAAAACTGCAATCTGGAGATGTTAAATGATCTTCCTAGGTGGTATTAGGTACCCCAAGATGTCATCCTGAGTTTCTTTAAGTACAAGCGACTTTGAGAAACCTATTATAACAAGACTTTCTTCTTAGCGATCGCAAAACACTGTTTCTTAAGAATTATGTTCTAAGTCCCAACACATGAAAAGTGGGGCACTGAAAATACAGATACAGACTGCAATGAATGGTGCAAGCTCAGGACTGGCCTGAGCCTCCCCATTCACTTCAGGTGCATCTCAATCTGGGAGCAGAGGCACTACATCCAAACACCTAAGTATTACCTGGCATACCTGATGTTCCAGATTTGGGAGACTGTAATTTCATTATTTAAAGAAATGTTTTATTTTTTCCTGAATCATCCCCCCCACCTTAAACACATAAGCAGATTCACACTCTCTGACTAAGGGTTTTCACCATTCTGAGGAACTGAAGAATCAGCATCAAAGAGGCAGGAAGGGGCAGATTTACTGTGTCACCTTTCTCTTGAAATCTGTTTTTCTAAAGATTTGCTTTTGTAAAGTAGATGGAATAAACTGTAACAGTAAGCAGATATATCAGTTGTTCACATTTAATCACTGCAATTTTCACAAAACCTGGTGACCAGAGAAAGGTGATTTGATGTGGACATGAAACCTAGCTTTGGAGAGATTGGGCCATATCCCAGTTCTGTTGCTTACCTGCAGTGGGTCTTGGAGAAGTTGCTTCCTCTTCCTGAGCCTCTGTTTCCTTATTTACCTTGTAGGTTGGTAATTCTGAGGATTAAATGAAAGAATACATGTAAAGCATTCACTGCTAACCCTGGCTCTGAGTAAGCATCCAGTTAATGGTGGCTGCCATATATCAGGCAGTAGCGTATTGGAAAGAGCACGGGGTTGGGAGTCAGAAGACTTGGGTTCTAGGCCTGCCTCTGCCACCAGCTAACTCTGGAACCCGGAAGATCACTTGATGTGCAAAAGGCCAGGGAAAGAGGGTGGTGTATTAGTTTTGGTTGAGCAAGAAGTGACACTGACAGGTTGTCGAAAATCTTGGGGGTCAGGCTGCATTCACTTTTCTACTTCCCCCAAGAGCTCCAGGAAGTTCATGTGCTGACTCATTATAAATGATGGTGTTCTTCAGTATCATTGCATACTCACAGTTGGGCAACAGGCGTTGTTTCTTCCTTTCTTCAGTATGACCTAAGGTTGGTTCTAGATTCCTGGTTTTACCCAGATTGTAAAAAAGCATAAATAAAGATGATATGAAGCACATCAGGCAAGCAGACTATTTTCATATCTTAGCTATAATAAGCCCTAACTTTTTAGATCCGACAGGGAGAAAGAGCTATTTGGCTATTCTGCTTCACGGTTAGGCAGCTTATCTAGTGGAGAGGCATGAGCGCAGATCTAAGTGCTATGATACACCGGCTATCTGCTCCTCAGCAAGAGGCCAGATCCGTCTCTGAAGAAGAGGAATAACAATGCTGTGCTCAAAAAGTGTGTGACAAGTGCGTGAGAAAATGCATATGAGAGTCCTCAGGAATAAGAGCTATGTGCTTTTTAACCTTGGATCCTGAATCTTCTGTAAGCCACCCTACTGCTAGAGCTGTGAGAATGTGCTCCACAAAAAAAGTACACTTGGAGGAAAAACATAAAAAGAAGAACTTCAATGCATGACCATATAGAGTTTTATCACAAGTGATTTCTTCACTGATAACATTGTCATCATCCTTCATGAAATGTGGGGTGTTACTTAAGTGTAAAAAAGATCTACAAGATCGGCTCTAGTCTGAAGAGATTGTTTTAGATGACTGAGGCCACTTCTCCTACCATCAAAATAGATACACTGAAGCCATTTTTCCTGCAATTTCCTGGTAGGTTTAAGTTGCAGTTCTTAGGCATCTGCCTTCAGCTCAGGTCATGATCCCAGGGTCCTGGGATTGGGCTCCCTCCTCGGCGGGAAGCCTGCCTGCTTCTCCCTCTCCCACTCCCTCTGCTTGTGTTCCCTCTGTCGCTGTGTCTCTCTGTCAAATAAATAAAATCTTTAAGTTGCAGAACTGAAGAGCTGGTCTGTCTCATGCTGGTCAACCCCAATGTATTTCTTTTTCTTATTAATGAGACAGTATTTAACATGTGAAATTTGACATTGAACAGACCAGAGACAAAATGGATAGATGTCGTTCTCACTGACAAAATGCATTTTCTAAGAAGTCTGGCCTTGCCTCATGTCAGGCATAAGAAGCTGCACCCCAGAGAGCTGGAAGTGGCTGTGCAGGATGAGGGCGGGCACTTCTGGCAAACAGGAGGGCATCCTAGTCTTTCTAGACGTGGGTGATTGAGGGCCTTTCAACCTTTCTAGCAAGCAGATGTGAGTCTTATTTTCTCAGATTTCCTAGTCTCGCTTTGTGGTAGGCCTGCTCACACTATGGGCCAAGAAGTGTATTAAAGTATATAGGGTTGCCTCTGAAGCCAGTATATGCTGAATCCATGGCTCTTTTTCCTCTCTTGTGGTAGCGAAGTAACTAGAGACCCAGATGATAAATAATGATGGAGGCAGACGGGTGTCTCCGCAAAGGCTTAGAGCCTGAACGCATTACTGCACTTCCTCTGCTTTGCGGTTGGTAGTTAGCTCTGTGTTTGGAATGTCTGTAGATCTCCTATCCCCCAGTCTCTGATGGGCTTATGAGACCGTAGTTCACTATATGGCAATTGCTCTTCAACAAACAGGAGGCTCACATGCCAGCCTGGAAAATGCAGAGCAAGTCCTCTCTGCCACGATGGTATGGAGTTTCTGTATTAATCTCTGAGGGTTCTTGCCAAGTAGGATGACGGGCTGAGCAGTTGGAGAGCTGCAGTAATGAGGGGGGAGTAGTGGTTTTGTCGAAGGGGGGATACTTTCTGAAAATGGCTGTGTCTAGAGATTAATTATGAATGAAATGCCGACCCAAATTAAGAAATAAGTAAGAATTAATTATGAAATGAGTGTCTCGGGGAGATAGTTTTTCTAGTGGACTGGAGCTTTAAAAAAATATTTTTTAAAGATATGATAACTTTTTTCATTTAGGAAACTCTGCTTTTTATTCTTATGAAAAGTTTTTACCAAAAAAATGCCAAGAAATTCTTGTTCTCCTCAGAAAGTCCCTCCATGCTATGACTCCCAGTGCATCTGTCACTCTGTCACACCTTATTTCCTTCATAAGACTTACCCTAATTTAATCATTATGTTTTGTTATTGGTTTGCTCGT